TCCAAATACTGAAAAGTAGTTCTACATGGTGGGAGGAAGTGGTGGTGAAGGAGGTGGAGTACAAAGGGGTCTCTGAGATACTGATAATGCACAGTCTGCCCTCCATATCCACAGGTTTCCCATTCACAGATTCAATGAATCACCACAGATCAAAAATATTCAGGCCAGCCAGGACAGCTCAGTCTGGTTGAGCATCACCCTTTGCACTGAAAGGTCACTAGTTCAATTCCCAGTCAGGACACATACCTGGGTTGCAGTTCAATCCCCGGTTGGGGTGCATACAGAAGGCAACAGGTCAATGTTTCTGTTTCACATCAATTTTTCTCTTCCTCTCCCCTCCTCTCTGTAAGCATGTCCTCAGTTGCAGATTAAAAAGTATACATTTGGGAAAAAAGTTCTGTTGTTGCTGACGTGTACGTGTAGTTAGGCCTAGGTTGGTTGCATCTGTGCTGAACATGTACAGACATTTTTCTTGTCATTATTCTCTAATAAATTCAGTATAATACCTATTTGCATAGCATTTGCATTGTGCTGGGTATTATAAGTAATCTAGAGATGTTTTAAAGTATATGGAAGGATGTCCACAGGTTATATGCAAATACTACACAATTTTATGTACGGGATTTGAGCATCCATGAATTTTGGCATCCCCAGGAAGGTCTTAGAACAAATCCCCGTGGATACCAAGGAATGACTGTTATTTCTTGACGTGGGTGGTAATTGGATGGAGAGGTTCACTTTGTGAAAATTCCTAGAGCTCTACCCATAATGATTTGTGTATCTTTTGGTTACACTCCTTAATAGAACCATTTATATAAAGACCTAGAGAATCACAAATTCCTAGGAAATTAGTTATAAATATGTAAAGAGTTATATTCCCTTTTGCCACCAGAAAAATTGCAATGCCAAATAAGTTGTTTAGAAATAAAATGAAACAGACTTGCATAGAGGAAGCAATGACAGCAGCTTTTACTATGCCTTCAAGCTGAGTTATTACAACTAAATTATAGGACTTTAAATGTTTTAGTAGACTGTTTGCTTCGGCAGCATATCTACTAAAACTGGAGCGATACAAAGAAGATTAGCATGGCTTCTGCGTAAGGATAACATGTAAATTTGTGAAGCATTCCATATTTTTTTAAAAAGTTTCAGTATATAAATACAAAAAGAGAAGCAATTTGCACAATTTAGTTGTAAAAGGCAATGTGGTATAGGTGAAAGCCAACTGAATTTGAACCAAATTATGTGTTAGAGACTAAGGAAAAAGAATCCCACCTCACATTTATCAAGCACTTACTATATGCCAAACAAGGAGATAGGATATTTATATTTATTTTCATTTTATATGAATACAATAGTCTTATGAGGTAGTTGCCATTGTTATACCCATTTGACAGATTTTAAAACTGAGACCAAGAAAGGTTAAATACTTTTCTTACTCTCCCACAGCAAGTAGATGGCAGGGCAGCATTTGACCTCAGACCTGATTGACTCTTAACCCCTTATATTCATCAGTGGTGAAGTTGGGCAAGTCATCTCTGTAAGCCTTAGACTCCTCTTCTGTAAAATGGGAGGGTCTTCCCGGATTTGCTGAGTGGCCAACTGTGGCTGTGTTCATTGTTTAGATTGGAAAGGGCAGGCTAAAGATAAATTCCTTTCCAGAGCTAAATCCAGAGGAAATGGTAGCCTCAGTGCCAAGAATCTTCATTCGGGCAGTGTTCACCAACTTGCCTAATCAGAAGAACCAGTAAAGACCATCTCGGCTAACAATACGCTGTAACTGTACTGGCCACAGTCTTCAGAGCAGGACCTGGGAAACTGTTACTATACTGACTTTCCTCCAACCCACAGTGATTTTTCTGTTCAGTAATGGTTTAGAAAAATAGACTACGGATTTCAAAAGATTTAGACAAGCTTCTCAGAGAGACTATGTTTACTTGACTCTTAAGTCATGTTGAAAATATAAATCATGATCCAACAAATGCTTTTCTGCAGGGATCTATGGTAGGATCTCGTCAGGATCTAGGTAATTTGCTCTCTGGTGATTTAATATAGGGACAAAGCTTGAAAATCTAAAGCATACAAATTTGCCACTGGCAGATAAATCAGTCCTGGCGCTCTCATGCACAGCGTAGTGATTATAGTCAATTATAACTAACTAGAGGCCTGATGCATGAAATTCGTGCAAGAGTAGGCCTTTCTTCCCCCGGCTGCCGGCACCTGCTTCCCTCTGGCACCTGGGACCCAGGCTTCCCTCGCAGCCCAGGCTTTGTCTGGAAGGTTGTCCAGAAGGAAGTCTGGTCTAATTAGCATATTACACTTTTATTATTATAGGTTATAGACTTCAAAGTGGTTAAGAGACTAGATCTTAGCTGTTCTCAAAGCAAAAAGGAAATGATGTCATGTGACTAGAGAGATGTGTTAGATAATGCTCTGGTGGTAATCAAATTGTAACATATAAATTTATCAAATTAACAGACTGTACATCTTAAACTTACAGTGTTACATGCTAATTGCAGTTAAAAAAGAATTAGCATGCCATTTATTTAATTTTATTTTTTTAAAATATATTTTTATTGATTTTTTTACAGAGAGGAAGGGAGAGGGATAGAGAGTTAGAAACATCGATGAGAGAGAAACATCGATCAGCTGCCTCCTGCACACTCCCCACTGGGGATGTGCCCGCAACCAAGGTACATGCCCTTGACCAGAATCGAACCTGGAACCCTTGAGTTTGCAGGCCGATGCTCTATCCACTGAGCCAAACCAGTTAGGGCAGCATGCCATTTAGAACCTTACTTTAAATAGGTCTTAAGCAAGTTATTCTTTTAAGAAGGCGCTGTACTCCCATCAGTTAACCATTTTATTTTCTAACATGAATGTTTAGGCCTGGCCGGGTGGAGCGTCATCCTGTACACCAAAATGTTGTGGGTTCAATTCCTAATCTGGGCACATACATCGGTTGCGGGTTAGATCCCTGGTCAGGGTGGGTACTGGAGGAAATCGATGGATATTTCTCTCTCACATCAAAGTTTCTCTCTCCATTCCTCTCTCTAAAATCTATAAAAAGCATATTCTCAGGTGAGAATTTTAAAATGTTTGGTATAACGAAACGTTTGTGGTTAAAATCACATCCATTTTCTTTCAAGGCACTACAGAGGGACATTTCCATTCTGTATTAAACGGTTAAATGACAGGCTGATTCAGAAAAGATATAAAAATTAGGTTCTGCCAATATTTTCTCTAGAAAAGTACTTAAGAATTTCTGCTTGAAGTACTTGATTAAGAAGACAGTTTTTCAAAACTGCAAATATAGGTGATGTGATTTTCTGCTAAGCTGATGTTATCTAACATACTATTTCAGGAGTTCAAGAGTTCAGGGCCCAAGGACAATATGAGATATGGGAGCACATTGAGAGAATTCCAGAGACAAAATGTTAAAAAATGTGCCTGCTTCCCAATTTTACAGCCAACTCCAGCCCAGCCAATCCTCAAATCCCTGCTTAGGGACAGCATTTGTGACATTTGCCAAGCCTGTCTAGTATAGAACAGTCTAGAAGGACATAGAATATCTTGAATAACAAGTAAAGTTGAGTTTGAATACATGCAGAGCAGCAATGCCCCAAATTTAAAAACACAATAAAATGCAAGACAGAGTGGACACCAGGTACAGGGAAACTGCTTCTCATGACGGACTTTCGGCAGCTCTCAAGAAAAATGATCAAAGTTGCAAAAGATTTTAACAAACCGGAGGCTTTGGAATGATCAAGAATAGGGGATAAGTAAACACAAATGTGGGAGAGAGGAATCTCTTAGGAAAAAACACTTTTTCTTAGACATGGTGACGGGGAAAAAACAAAAAAGAAAAACTGCCTCTCCTCTGAGCCCTACTCAGCTCAATTAGCACCATGTCGTGGCCGGAGAGCAGAGAGCTAGGCTTGGCAGCCAGACACAGAGGATGCAGATAGAAGAACACTCACCCTTAGGAGCCCTTTCAGGCTGCTGCTGACATGGGGTGTTGTGTACCTGGGCATTAGGATAATAATTACCATGTTGGGGAAAGGTCAAATGTTTTAGGAGTATGTGCCTCTATTAAATCACCTTACATAACACTGAGAAAAAATCACTCTGCATCCTTAATTCTGTGACATATGACATTTCATACTTAACAAAAGGTGAAGCCACAATCTCCTCTACATCCCCCCAGAGCCATGCAAGAACAGTCCACCTGAATGTACTTAATCATGGGTGGGCTTAGACTGCCTTCCACGTTCATGCTCAAGAAGAAGACTTCTTGCTCCATTGCAGTCTGGGGCTCCTGCCAAAGTCCTAAGTCCAAAGTGATCAGGCTGTGCCAGGAGTGATTTGGATTCAGTGAGAATAAGTGTGAGTGTGGCTAGATGAAAAGAGGAGGCCAACATTGGGCACATTGAATTAAACCTAATGTCGACGTACTTTCCTGGTAAACACACATTCAGACAGAATGACAGCTATCCTATTTCCATACCCTATATTGCTAATAATTAATGAAGCAGTACTGAAATGAGCCAAAATGATCTCTGTATAGAAACCCTTTCTCATCTGAAAGCCTGCTAAGGAAGAAATGTTCATGTTAAAATGTTTCTGTATATATATTTAAAGAAAAAAGTACTCCTGAAAACATTTTTACCCTGCTATGAAAAATAAAGTGCTATGAAAAATAAAATGCATTTTACTCATCATTTCCAAACTTAGGCCACTTCTCTTTAGGGAGAAGGCACACCTTTAAAATAGCAATTTTTCTAGAGATCACACATATTTCGTTTGTATCTGCTCAGTCTGTTGCAAGAATAAAAACTCTTTCAAAAATGTATTTAAATGGAGAGCATGCATTTGTAAAAGTATAGGTAATGAATCTCAACCTAAGATTTTTATTCAAACACACTGTGAAAACAAGATTTGCAACAGATAAGCACAATATAATTTCCTGGAATTCTCTTGCCTTCAATTGTGTTAAGAACTCATAAAAGGAAATGCAAGTCCAATGAAGCTTTAATGTCCCCATATTTAATTTTCTGTTAAGCAGAATTCCAAAAGAAAGAAAAAGTATCACAAAAACATATAGCACAAGTGCACTTAAATCCACCCAACACATTACAGATGACAACAAATTAAAATGCATTGTGTATTTTATTATGCTCAGTAGTGTCAAGGGCATCAACCAACTGATCTGATAATCCATTAAACTATGTAGAAGAAGTTTTCCACTTAGATGAGAGCTTTGGGTGAATGGCATGCTGCAGCAATTTAGCATCACAAATATATTTAGCAGAAAGCTACTCAAGTATTGCTGTGCTATTGGCACTTCTAGAGAAAGCTATCTTGTTGATAGGTTTTGGTGTCAAAGAGAGGCTGTTTAATGAGAGATTATAAATGTTGATTTCACTAACAGATTCAGAACAGTATACACATTATAGTAACCAACCTTTCCTTGCACATCACTGAGTTAGATTTCAATGGGATCCAAACACCAGGATTTTTCAGGCAAGATTTTTAAAATATATTTTTATTGAATTCAGAGAGAGAAACATCAATGATGAAAGAGAATCATCGACCGGCTGCCTACTGGGGATTGAGCTCACAACCAGGGCATGTGCCCTTGACTACAATCGAACCTGGGACTCTTCAGTCTACAGGCTGATGCTCTATGCACTGAGCAAACCAGCTATGGCTCATGCAAGTTTTGAAAGACTCTGGGCAATAATATTTTGGAGGTTCTTATTTCTTTTCTCTAGAAGAGTTGATGTTTTTGAGAATTCAAATGAAAAATCACAGCATAAGAGACCAGAGTTCTTACATATTTTGTCTTTCTATGGAACTGCCTACCCACCAATCCAAAGAGAAGGCTTCTTCTCAAATAAAGCATCCAATGGATATAATCTGACAATCCACGAGGGGCTTGAATGCACTACAGAAGTAGAAAGACAGCCCTTGCCCTCAAAAAGACCCACAGAGAAACGGAGGAGGAGAATGAATAAGCACATGCAGGTATCTAACATTTACACAGGCATATGCATAATAGGCAGCCCACACACAAGACAAAGTTTAATATGTTTTTTTTACGAACAGTACGCCAGGCTCAATCTGACACACACTGAATTTTCTACATGCACAGGTGCTAAGGATAGGTGCCTCTCTTACTGGTTAATTTGGTTGCATTTTTTATACTCTTGTGGGTGAATGGATGATAGCATATTAATATGGTTCCAAAAATAGAAAAATGAATCTGAACCTAAACACCAGCTGGAAAGAAGACAAATGTCCTAAAGCCAGTTGTAAAATTGAACTTTACAAAAGAGCCTCAAGTGGGTATACTTCTAACTAGACCACATTTCCAGCTTAGAAAAACAAATAGCGGCCTCTTCCACAGAAGCATCAGCATAAATAATAGAAGTTTGGAGATATTTCCTAAATAATGAAAATTCCTGACAACCCCATTATTTTCAAGTGACTTAAGAGAATGTGGATAACTTCAAAAGAATTCTATATATAACGTTACATACACAGAGGGTTCAAGCTTTCCACAAATATGCTTATAGGTAAGTATGTGCTTGCTTTAGAAAAGTTTCTCTGAAACTTAGGATTTTTCACACTAGTATCTTCCCTTGCCATTCACAGATTATAAATGAGAGGGGTGCCTATTTCTTATTGCTGTTATCAATTAGCTTCTTTTAAAATGTAAGTATGGACTGGGGTGAAGTTTTCCGATTCAAGTTTAATTAAGCCATATACATGCTAGATATCTGATACCTCTTTCTATTAGAATACAGGCAATACTCAATTCAATTGCTGATCATTAATGTCAGGATTTATTTCTGAGCATCACAACACACAATCAACTTTGAAATGCCATAATGCCTTTCTGGAACTGAAAAGAAACATTGCCTGCAGACAGACACACCTGAACTTAATTTTAATTTATGGACTGTATCTAAATTGTTGAACCTGGGGTTATTAGTTTGTACTACTTCATAAGGCTACATGTTTTATATGTAAATGAAATGTTTAGAACATGTTTCCTTTAGGCCACAGCAGCTTACAAGTACATTTATCTCATTCATACTTTCAAATTTGATAGACACATTTCTACACATTTGCCTTTGTGTATTGAAAATATTGTCCTAAAGTCTGTGCTCAAACAAAATCCTTTTATTCCTTTGATAATTTCCTAGTTCATAAAATAAACATATTAAAATAATATATAATACCAGTGTTATAAGGACTTAGCTTTCATTGTTGCTTTTGAAAAAAATATAAAAATTACCATACATTTTTTATAACTATAAATTCTTAATAGAGTTTCCATTTTAAATTCCTAGAAAAATCTCTGAGGAATGGTCAAAGTCTTCATAGAAAATATTCACTTGAGAGTCTTCCTTTTGAAGACTTGGGCTGAAGGCGTATCTCCTCGGATTATCTCTTTTCTAATTATCTCTCTCCTACTTTCATTAATTAAATCCCTTCATTAATCGTCCATTCACCAAACTACAGTACTTGGTCTTCTGCCTTATTTTCCCCAATAGCTTTATATTTGCTCTGTGGGGGGAAAACCAGGTCATTATTTTACCACAGAACCTTAAAATACAAGATGCATCACATTGTGCCCTGTCTTAGAACTTAAGTGCTTTTGTTGGAATGATAAGTTTTCATTTTCAATGAATTATATGCCTTTTTTCAAAACTTAGAAAAAATAGCTAGAGATATTGCTCTTGAATTGACAAATGATATCTAAATCCAAGTAGTACCAGACACACTATTAAAATTAATTAAAAATAGATGCATGGATTTCCCTTCCATTAGACAACCTGTACAGAAAGTCTAATCAAAATGGGGTTAAGATGACAGAAATTAATATACTAGAATTAGTAATACAAGCCCGCATAGCTATTCTGTTGAAGCAGTTCTGGAGTATAGAGACTCTACATACCCACATGAGACACACTTCACCTCTCTAAGAATAAAGAACTTCTAACTCTCATCACCTTGTTCCCTGCCCATTCAACTAGATTAAAAAATATGTGTCAGCCCTAATCTAATAATCAGTATGCAATTGTTGGAGAAAATTTAGTTCTTTATTATAATTCGTACCTAAATTTAGACTCTGTTATATGGGTAAAGTCAACTGAAATACTCAAATCAATTTTGCTTAGGATGGTACTTTGGTTAGACATCTACATGGAAGGGTATTCTTGAGAGTTCCATTTTATGAAAACAGCTTTGATTTGGGGGAAAACATGTAGAGAAATAGCTCAGAAGAGACATGATGAGCTGTGGAAACACTGGCAAGGCTGAGAACAACAACAAAAAATTAGAAGGAAGAGTTAGGTAAAGGTAAAATAGAACACCATTTTGCACTATATGATGAGAGCAGACCAGTAATTATATTTATGGCCATATTAATTGACATTCTCCCAACATTAATACATATGCGCACGTGTGTGTGTGTATGTGTATCTATACACATCACTTTTATTATCACAGATAATCAAATTACAATTCAAGATTAGTTAACATCAATTGGATGTAATTTTTGTAAACACTATTACTGCTAATAATACCTAGTTGAACTCAACACTACCCAGGAGTGCCCAAGGCTTCTATGACTAATTGTATTATATTAATATCTGCTGCTGAACCCCTCTCTTCTGAACTTGTGATAACCTGTTATGAGCTGCTTCTAACAAGATAATGGCTTCAATTTCAATAGGAAATAATAAAGAGGATAATTTTTTAGCTTTTTATTTGCTGCTTCATGCACTGTACCTGATTCTTGAGATCCAGTTTGGGACATGGGCGGCCTCCATTGTAAGGTTTTTCTTTTAGCCATTTGGATCGAATTCTCACGCCAATTCCACAAGATGAACTGCAAGACCCCCAGCTGGACCAATCGCTTAACTTGCAATCAAATGGGCAAGGGATGGCACATTCTTCTTGAATATAACCTGAGAGAAAAAGATCCAAGAGAAGGGAGGAAAGTCTGATCAAAATGTACTGATCAAATTCACTTGCTATTCTTAGAGCTCAGGTTGCTCAACAATACTGCCATAGGGACCTTGATAGTTTTCTACTCAAATACACAGACAAAAGTTCTCAGAGGCAGATACTTATGATTATATCTGCAACCCAAATTTGTACCACCTGTTTACTTCACAGATAATTCTGGGATGGAAGGAGCAGGGAAAAGTACACACTTAGTTCTTCTTTCTGACAAGAAGAAATGAGGCAGTTCAGGGCTAATGATATAATTTCCTTCACTGGGCGTTGTGTCCCACCAACTCCTATAATTCTGTCTGGAGATAGGAAGCATAATAGAGTCAATCTGGATAATATTGAAAGAGGAAAATAGAGGCATAGTGAAAGGGCATCTAATGAGATATTAGACTGGAATCAAGAGATATGGATTGAAATACAGATGCACATGTTCTAGCTTTACTTGGTCTTGCTCTTGTCCTCAGCCCAGTTCTTGCTATCATCTTTCTCTAGATAATCTAATTATTTAACTATCACCTCAAATAATCACTATCAAATACATATTTCTAAGTCTGATATCTCGAATGAGTTCTTATACAACCTACTCATCCACTCAAGTTGGATGGCCAACTACCCCCGAATTCAACATGTCTAAAGCTGGGGCAATTGATTTCCTCCTAAAGCAGTGGTTCTCAACCTTCCTAATGCCGCGACCCTTTAATACAGTTCCTCATGTTGTGGTGACCCCCAACCATAAAATTATTTTTGTTGCTACTTCATAACAACAATTTTGCTACTGTTATGAATCCTAATGTAAATATCTGATATGCAGGATGTATTTTCAGGGGTCGCAACCCACAAAGCATTCTAATTCTATTATATTCCTCATCTTAATTAAGTACAACATACCTGATTCTTATACACTGATGGGCATGCCTACATAACCTCTTCCCCTTGGTTTTGGGCAGAATCCCAAAATGTGATAGGATGGCACTCCCATGATTAGGTTTTAGTGTGTAGCAAAGGGGAAAGGAACTCACATATAGAATTAACATGACAAATCAGTTGATTTTTAGTTTACTAGGAGAGAGATTATCGGGACGAACAGCCTGGATAATTGGGTGAAAAACCTTAGAAGAGTGACTGGGCCCTTTTTGTGGAGGAAGATTCTCCTGTTGGCCTTGAATAAACAAACAGGCATGCTATGCCTGGCCACATAGCAGGGGACTGAGAGCAGCTGCTGGCTGTCAGCCAGCAAGAAAACAGGCCTCAGCTCTACAGGCGTGTGGAGATGAATTCTGCCAATAATTCTAAGGGAGCCTCCCCCGGTGAAGCTTCTGCTGAGACCTCGGCCTTGGCCCACACGTTGCCTGTAGCCTGGTGAGAAACATAAGCAGAGAAACTGGAGAAACCACGTCTGTACTGCTGACCCTTGGGAGCTGAGCTAATGTTTTGAGCTAAGTCTGTGGTAAGTTTTTGATGCACCTACTGACAGCTAACAGATTATCCAAAATAAAAACCCGAGTCATCTTAGGTCTTCCTCCATTATCTCGCACATATATTAATAGGTGCAATAAGTTCTTATGTCAAAATGTCCTAAATATGGCCCCTACTCCAAAATTCCTTTGTCAGTCCCCGGTTCAAGATCTCATTTTCTGGTCTGGAATACTGCAACAGTCTCTTCACTAGACTCCCCTTTTCCCTACGCATTCTCTTTTAATATTGGTCAGTCACGTGAAGGAAAAAGTTTCTCTTCTGAAGCTGTATCAACTATAATAAAAAGTAAATTTAATAAACAATCTAAAAAAAAGAAAGATAAAAATACATGATTTATGCTACTCCTTTTAAACTCTTTGCTGACTCTCCAGTGCCTTGAAAATAAAGTGCCAACTAGTTTGCAAAAACTATCCAATTCTTTACAAGAGCCTCTAAACAAGGGATTTCATCTTGACTGTAAAATATATTCCTATTGCCCAGGACATTCCACAGACCAATTTGACCAGAGTCTCCAAGATGGATCTAGGCACCGGTACTTTTCAAAGGTCCCCCGGGGAGTCTAATGTACAGTCAAGGCTGAGAACTGCATCCCTAACTTGTTTTGCTCCTGCCCTTCCCTCTCCTCTGTCTCAAAATCTGTCCACATAGACTACTCCATCTTCTTCAGTAATATTTATGCCTTTTCTCATGCAAAACTACTCTTTCTCTAGCCAGTTTAGCCTTGCTGGCTCATTTTTATTTTTATCTATATTGGTATATTGAATGATTTTAATTAGAGAGCCTCTAATACACTGTTTTATATTTTTCCTCCTGATAAGACATAAACCCAGAGGATCTCTATGAAACTCAAGGTCATAAATTCAATGAGCATAAAATAGTTTTGAAATTCAACAGCGCCAGTGACATTTATTTTTCAGGATAGTTATATTCATGCAACAGTATACCCCAAAGGAAAGCCCTTAAGGAGAACCATTAATAATTGCATATTCTCATGCCTATCTCATAATTGAAAAGATTAGTTTTACCCACATACTTGAGACTTACAATTTTTGGCAATAGAAGATGATCACATGTGGCTACGTACAAGGTTAACCTGCCAAATGAGAATTCAAATTCCTGACTATGGAAACTTCACTAATGTTTTAAAAACTCATTTGCATAAAATATATTACAGAATAGCTTCTCTGGCAAATTTCAAAAATATAAATCCAACTGATATAAAAGAAACTGTTTTTCTATCAAAAATATTTTACAGTCCTGGCCAGTGTGGCTCAGTTGGTTGGAGCACCGAAGAGTCCTGGGTTTCATTCCAGGTCAGGACATGTACCCAAGTTTCAGGTTCAATCCCAGGTCTGACCGCATGGGAGGCAAAGAAGCGACATTTCTCTCTCACATCAATGTCTGTCTCTCTCTCTCTCTCTCTCTCTCTCTCTCTCGCTCGCTCTTTCATCAATAAAAATATATCCTAGGCTAAGGATTTAAAAATATGTATTTTTACACTATAATTCATATGCAGAATACATTGCTTGGACCATCATATTATTTAACCTGGAGATGTTTCCATCTTCTAGTTTAGTTACCTGTATGCAAATGAATTTAGATATGAAGTATTTATTACAGAATTATCAGTAAGGCATATACCCAACATTGTGATTTTTGTAAACGATATACATTACAGATAGCAGGTACCCAAAAAATATCTGTTGTTATTATGAATACAGATGAACTAAATAAGATCTGTGCTTATTATCTCTATCTATGTTATAATTGAAGGGCTTTATTTAATGACATACTCATTCAGGCTGAAGCCCAGAGACCTGGAATGGCTTTTCAATCTACATTGCTAACCGTAAAATAGGTTAGGACATAGGAAAAACACAACTCTATGTATAAGGCTGCTTTTGTAATGAAACTACTCCCCAGGATATAACCTACTGTAATTTTTTCCCCTCCATCATTCAAGGACTAACACATTTTTCCCTCTATAAGAGCCTCTTTTGAAGGATTAGAAAGAAACACTGATGATATTCATAGCCTGACGAAAACCTAGTTTAATTTACTTATATTTTCCTACTGTGTAAAGTAATGGCAAATACAGTGCATGTTCTATTTGTTGGCACTTTGCTAGAATAATGAAAACACAGGACCAAAAATAAGACAGGAAAAGTCGAAGAAAATACTGATTGTCTCTTCCCCATTTCAAAGTGAAGATCTGGGAGAAATTTGTGAGTTAAAATAAAGTGATGTTTTCATTTCTCAATATTTGAAGATTTACTGTTTTAATTTACACATTTTTCTTAAATATATTTTATTTATTTTTTTTACAGAGAGGAAGGGAGAGGGATAGAGAGTTAGAAACATCGATGAGAGAGAAACATCAATCAGCTGCCTCCTGCACACCCCCTACTGGGGATGTGCCTGCAACCAAGGTACATGCCCATGACCGGAATCGAACCTGGGACCCTTGAGTCCGCAGGTTGATGCTCTATCCACTGAGCCAAACCGGTTAGGGCAATTTACACATTTTAATACTACTTTTTATCTAGTAATGAATGTACCATACTAAAAAGTATCTGATGACTTACATCAAAGTAGTTTAAAGTATATATTTGTTTAGAAGAGGTGAGGAATATGAGGGTGGATGTTTTTGACATGGTTGTAAGGAAGACAATTTGAGAAATTAGATCAATACTTTGTATTCAAGGGAAGACTGGCAGTATTGGACATTTAATTAAAACTAGAGGCCCGGTGCACAAAATTTGTGCACTGGGGGGGGGGGTCCCCTCAGCCTGGTCTGCATCCTCTCACAGTCCAGGGGATATCCGACTGCCATGGAGCAACTATGCTCACCAGCCGTGAACCTGGCTAAGGGCTTCTGGCTGTGTGGCACTCCCCCTGTGGGGGTACACTGACCACCAGGGGGAAGCTCCTGCATTGAGCGTCTGCCCCCTGGTGTGCCATTCGGTCAATTTGCATATTAGCCTTTTATTATATAGGATATCAGTCCATTAGTGTGTGGAAATATAGATCAACTTCAGTAAGGTTGCCAGCTTGCTTTGGTGAATTTATATTTTCGCCTGAGAATACTGCCCATGAATACTAGTTACATTCTTTCAAAGATGATTCCAACCCTGTATGATTCCTCCTCTGTAAAGCCCAAGAGGAGAGAGTTGGAAAGTATCTACATTCCCATTATTTCTTCTTTTGAAAAATTTAAGTTATTAAAAGAAATATTTTGAAATCCCATTTGCGAGTAGAAAAATAATCTTTACTGCATATTTAAAACCTCATCAGCACATAGACTCTCCAATGTTAACATTATAAAGTGATGGTTATGGCTGTACGTAACAAAGTATCTTATTTGGACCCAAAATCAGGTACATGAAATACTGCTGATTTAGAAGTTACATAAAATTCAAATAATTATATTGACAAAATATGTTTGCCTGGACTCCTTCAAACTCAAATATATTCC